TGCCTGTGATCCCAGCAGCAGGAAGATCACCACGTGAGGTCAGCCTAGAGAGTCCAAAATCAGCCTAAACTACATAATGAGATCCTGTCTCAAACAAACAAACAAGTAAACAAAAAAACGTAAAAGTTGGCATGGTGCTGCACACCCATAATCCCAGCTACTCAGGAGGCTGAGGCAGGAAGACTGCAAATTTAAAGCCAATTTTGAGAATTTAGGAAACCCTGCCTCAAAAAATAAAACAATGTGGGATGCAGCAGTGTGAGGCTCTGGGTTCAACCCTTAGTACTACTATATTAAATGAATACATTAATTAAGAATAAAAAGGTCATAGAGCTGCACATCAGCACAAACATTTTGTGAGACACTTATCAAATTTCAAAGTCAATGAGGAAAAACTTAGTGCCAGTTGTCCTCAGTTCATTCAGTCACTTCTCTACTGGTGTTACAGTGAGCTGATCTATAAACATCTTTTACCGCCTCCTTAAAACGCAAGGAGCCCCGCAGTGGGGAGACTCACCCAACAAGGGCTATTCGTCTAATGAGTCATGACCTCCAAAGCACCCCATTATGTGATCCCGAGGGCACTAACCAGTCACGGCCATGTAGTCAGTCAGCTCTTGGCCTGACAGGCCCTCCAAGGCCTCCAGCATCCAGACGGCAGTAGATCTGCAGCTCTCCGCTAGCTGGGCCAAGTCAGCCAGATCAGCTACCTACAGGGACAAGAAGAGATTGACAGTGAAAGGAGTCACACTAGGTCCAAAGCCAAAGCACCCAGGAAGTTCTTCCAAGGAGCAGCCCAGCCCTTGGCCCAGTGCAGCTCCCTGGATTCCTAGACAGTACCTGACAGCGCTGGGCAAAGTCATAAACCATCACAGTGTAGAGGTGAAGACCCTGAAAGTGCGTCTGCACCAAAGACTGCTGCTGCTTGGGGGAGTCCACACAGGCCTGAGGAAGCAAACGGGTGAGTCGGCTTGAGGGGCAGAGTCAGAATGAACCCCAAGAATGCCCAAGTCCTAGAAAGCCGACACAGGCAAGGGAGGAGGAAGGAGGATGTTGGGAGGGGCCCCTGCCCTCTCAGGGTGGACTAGGCTGCTTGCCAGGCAGTCTCGAGAGCAGCTTCCCAACACAGAGCCATGGCTTCCAGGTCTTGCGGAAGGCTCTAGAACTACACCCCACCCTCCCGCTAGGTCCTTAACTCACACCATCATCCCGGAGCTGCTGGATAAGAGAGCAGTATCCTCCCAGGAAACCAAAGAGGCTCCCAATAGCTTCGGGTCCATAGTGTTTCTTGATACCTCGTTCCAGGCTTGAAAGGAGGAACTGGCAGGAGTCATACAATGCCCGAAGTGGGGGTAACGGTGCCTTCACACTGTGGTTCAAGACAGCTGATGCCTTGCTGAGAAGCTGAACCACTGCCTGGGATCCTTCCTCCCCGACATGTAGCAGCTCCACCCCCAACTGGCACAGCTGGAGGCTGGGGGCCACACTGGTGTCCCTGAGGTAACCATGAGCCCTCCCCACTGTGCTGGTGGCCTTGTCGTAGTGGTGGCTCCAGCACAGGCGACGGCAGTGCTCTAAGGTGAGCTCCAAGAGGCAGAGGGCCCTCTGGGGAGAAAGAGGACTGGGAGAGGCACTTCCCTCACCCACCAAGGCTCTGATCACGTTCCTGGAGAGCAAGTCATCTAGGAAATCAGCATCTGCTTCGTCTAGGCCACGCCCACTCGCGTCAAATAGCTGATAGGCAGCTACCACTCGACAGGCTGTTGGCGAAGCAAAGTGAGGAACCTCGAAAAGGGTACTTTCATCCTCCAGGAGGACAAGGAAGCTCAAGGCCTTCATCCGAGCTGAGAGCGCCGCTCTCCGCTCCAACAGCGCTTCTGCTCCCTTCCAAAGCAGAGAAAAGCTGCCTCGAGCCACAGCCTCATAGTCCTGTGAGGCAGCTTGGGGAGCGCACTGCATGAAGCAGGCATGGAGAAGCTGGGCGAGGTGCAGCATGGCCTCTGGGCTTCCCTGAGCAGCCACGTTCCGCAGTAAGATGAAGAGAATGCGTTCCAGGTAGAGGGGAGGGCGCTGGGGAGTAGACACCACGTAGCCATTGCAGGCCAGCTCTGCCAGCTCCAGCAGGCTCCCCAGGTGCCTAGGGCCGGGGAGCCTGGCCGTCAGCTGTTGATTGCAAGCCCTCAGGATGGCGTCACAAGTCTGTCTGCGCTCCGTGTCAGATCGGCTGCTGGGACAACCAGCTGGAGGCTTGGACAGGAACTCCTAGGAGAGAAGGGTGAAGGGGTCTAGCAAGGGAGAGGGAGGTAGGGGGAGGAACGAGAAAGCTGCTCAGGAAAGGGTCTCCTACTTTTCGGGCTCTTCAAAATAAGCCAAAGGGGGCCTGGGGATTTAGCTCAGCGGCACAGCGTCTGCCTGGCAAGCACAAGGTCGTGAGTTCGATTCCCAGTACCAAAAAAAAAAAAAAAAGTCAAAACAGCTGTGCTCGGGAAGGCAGGTGTGTCCTGAGCCAGAGAAGACCCTCACCTTCAAGTCAGACAGCAAGTCTTCAGCATCCTTCTGGCTGCTCAGCAGGGTCCCAAAGTTGACTCCTTTGAAGTTCCTCATAGTGCCGAGAGCTGGGGGAAAACCAGACGGATTAGAGAAAGCCGAGAAGATCTGCAATGGAGTTAACTGGAGGGAGGCAGAAGGACTTCAAGGGTGTGGAGGACAGCAAAAAATCTGGTCAGAAATCCTGTCCGGAAAATACCCACGCCAGGACGCCGGCTCCGGCTCCGACTCCCGTTATAAACTGACGCTTCTGCCTTCCTTTCCTGCAGGCGGTCCCGGCCCTACCCCACCACTTCACACCCGGCGCTCCCACAAAAATTCTCCCCACCCTCCCTCGCCCAGCCGCCCCGTCTGTCCCGCAAGTCAGCGCGGGGTACCCCATTCACCCAGGCGCGAACACGACCTCGCGAGTCCCTCCGAAACCCTGCTTCCTTACCAGGCCCAGACTTACCTCCAGCCACAGTACTCCAAAAGGACCCAAAGGGTAATCGTTTTCCGCGCCAGCCCCTCCTTTCAAATATCGCTAGCGGCCAATCAGCGAGAGTGCATAACGCCAGCGGGCCGCGTGGCACGCTGGGAGTTGTAGTTTACCCACCGAGCGGCCCTGTCACGTGATGCTACGGGGGCGGGCCTGCTGCTCTGGCACGAAGGCCTCTAGGAGGCGCAGGTTAGCCCCTTCTCCCAGCCAAGGCTGAGTTTCTCTGTTACTGTCACCGCCGCGGAGAAGACCAACCCGCTGTCTCCTTCACGCCTTAGTCTTTTTTTTTTTTTTTTTTTTTTCCTCTGGTACCGGGAACCGAACTCACGACCTTGTGCTTGCCGGGCAGGCACTTTGCCACTGAGCTAAATCCCCAGCCCCTACGCCTTAGTCTTCTGAGCTCAGGCAGGAGTTTAAATTTCAAGACCAGGGCTGGGGATGTAGCTCAGCGGCACAGCGCCTGCCCGGCAAGCGCGAGGTTGTAAGTTCGATTCCCATACCAAAAATAAAAAAATAAAACATAAAAAAAGAAACTTCAAGAAAAAGAGAATTGGACTGGACACCTCAAACAATTTACTGCATTCGAAAAAAACAGTTTACTGCATTTGGAAACTAGCCCTCTTTGGGTTAGGAGAGGAAGAAGGTGTAGCTCTCTATGGAATTAGAGTTGACTGGAGACACCGAAATGAGCGCAGCGCGCTTAGGCTCTGCTCTATCTCTCTCTGTGCTTTCCAGCCATACTCTTTCCATCGGCTGTGTGACTGAAACAGGAGTAAGTGTTCTGTGATGAAGGGTAAAGTGTCGGATTGAGAGGAGACTGATCAGGAAGTAGGAAAATTCACTCGATGAGATGTCTCAGTCGTGTGACACTGCCACCACTCTATGCCCTGTTCCGGGGTTTGAACCCTGGCCCCTCGCACTGAGCTATTTAATTTTGAGTCAGGGTCTTGGTTTTGCTAAATTGCTCACACTGAACTTGAATTTGTAATCCTCCTGTCTCAGCCTCCCAGAGTACTGGGATTATACGAGTGTTCCAGTACGCCTGGCTTTAATAGTCCTTAACAGTAAATACTAATCACTTCCCCAAAAGTACAGATTGTTGGCTCTGCTTCTCTTTCCTTCCTCCTCCAAAGAATTCAGCTCAAAACTGTAGTCTTCCGGTGGTTAGCTTTTCCCGATCAACCCTACTGGATAACATCCTTCTC